ACTAATAATAACGTAGAAAAATATTCTGGGAAATATAATTTTCAGTCTGTACATTCTTCATTACACTAGCAAAAATATGAATAGCAAACTTATTAATAAAATACCCAGTATGTCAATATGAGTTAGATCCTCTCTTCAGGACGACAGTAAAAATGCTGAAAATGATAAATTTGCAAATATTACAAGCTTGGCTAATAACAAAGATCACAGGCTTTGTAAAATATACATAGTACATTGTGACTACATCACAATTGTAAAGGCACCTCAAAACAGAATGAGAAACATTTTGACAATTACATCATGTTGGTATTTAAAAACAACAATTGTTAAAATTAGAAACATACACTCTGAAATTAAATATGTCAAACTCCTTTTTAAGGACAACTATTTCACAACAAACTGCCATCGTTTTTTGCAACAAGGAAACAAAATGCACAGCCTGCTGCGAGCAATCAGTGTTGGATAGGATGTGTGGAAAATACCTTCAGTCATTTTAGAATGTGTTTCCTGATCAAAGTAGAGAAAAGCACACGGCTTCTTATTTGCACAAGGGTCTGTTCTCTTGCGCACAACTAAATGGTCTCAAGACAAGGCAGGCACTGATAATCAATACTGAGTGCATTCATCGTGTACCATTTACTAACAGGACAGAACAAAACTGAGGGGATAAGTGGTGATACACCGTTGTGTGGTGGGAATTGTGCACACAAAGCATAAAATCAATAATGTTTTACACAAAACACAGGCTCCTTCAAAGGGCAGGTTTGGAAAGGCAAGGTTGCCACTGTTGAAAACCAAGAACTCCAACCTAACAAAGACAAAGCTAAGAATGCTCTTCAACAAAAATGATTTAAAATTTTCAGTGGGGCAATGAACATTAAATGCAAAATGAACAACTTCAGTTTTGAAGAGTCTTTGCTACTGTAGATCTTCAAGATTAATGCCATTTCTTGTGGCAATCGTCTTTTAAGTTGGAAATGTACCACATTACACATCCGCCCTGCGATGGACTGAAGCCCTGTCTGGGGTATACCCTGTCCTGTGCCTGTTAATTGCCAGGTAGGCTCTAGCTCTGCCCATGAATTGGAAGTATTTAGAAGATGTGTGTATGTATACAGTGTGTATATATATATACACAGTACAACAATGGCTTAACTCAAGCCCTTTTAAAATAGCCTTACCGTACTTAAACCAATACATTTTCACTGGTTTAAGAAAATACTAAAATTTGCTTAAGAATTTAAAAAGGTTCTGAAAAATGTACATTTGCATACTAGAAACTGAAATTAAAAATCGACTAGAAACTGAAATTAAAAATACTAGAAACTGAAATTAAAACAGACTTGAGAACAGAGAAACCTTCTCAAAACAAAACTGTTTTCTGAACGGAGAAAGCACTTCCCTGCAAAGACCTGCATAGGTCTTGGTCTATGAAGTGATGACAGAATGTCGAATACACGAACCCAGATGAAGCCTGTCCAGCTGTTGATAAAGGAAAGCACAGTGCACCCTACAGTCACAATTAGTTTGCCACTTCTAGTCAGATTAACTTAAAACATAACCAACGCCAAAGAAAAATACAGTACAAAGGGCAGATGGCAATATCTTAGCTGTCATTAGAGAGAAGGCCTTGAGAGTTGCATATTCTGGGACTGCTTTGCAAACAGTGCCAGTAGTGGGATACCTCTCAGGGGTGCAGAGCTGTAAGGTTCCAGCTCCATTAGCTGCAAACCGGCAGAGACTGTCCCTAGCCTCCGTTCCCAGCAGCCTACCCTAATAAGGCAACGTGCAACTTGACTGGCTGACCGAGAGGTCGTATACTGTTTACCTCTGCAAGCAAACAGCATGCTAGCTCCCTGTGACCCTGTACCTTCTGGCAGACGGCGTGCATGCATAACCCTTGTCAGCAGCTATAAAAGCATCCATGTCCTACTACCTTCATACGAAGGGAAATTTCTGGTTTAAAAACAGACACTCATTAAAGCTTTTTATTGTTGCTACAAATAGGCAAACACCCACCAATCCCAAGCTCAAAATAAACCAGATGAAAGGTCTGCTAAGCAGTACATTAACTGTGGAATGCACTGCAGCACTGTACACCTTATGGGAAACACTGCGCGTTATCAGCCGTCGCCAGTTAACTGTAGCAGCTGCGTTACAGTGGTGGATGAAGAGAGTCCCTCCTCACCTTTCAAGTGTTTTGGGATTCTTTCGATATGAAAGATGTTATTAAAAACAACCTATTAACACTATAAATGTTAAACATTCACGATCCCGGTAAAAAAAAAAAAAAAGATACATTTAATCTCTTATCTGTCTCTGTTTGTAAAAGTCTTTTCTAATCTTTTTTTTTCCCCCCTAGTGTAAGGCTTAAAAGAAAAGAAGGCGAGGGCTACTCTGACATTGAGATGACCCTGAATCAGACAAGACTAATTACTTGTCGAGTCAACAGAAGGGCCTGGACTAATAGCTAATGCCTTACAACCATTAAAGACTTTGTTCATGAAATGGTGTACACCGATTTGATATTACTACATAACACAGAATTAATGCAATAGGTTTACAGATACAGTAAGAGCTAGACTTAGTCATTGCTGTGCTAACAGTTGTTTGCATAAAGTGGATAAAATGAAAAACACAGCCCTTGTGGAAAATCACCCTGCTGTAAAATGCTTTTTCCCCTAAAATG